AAAAAAAAAAAAACATCTTAGTATTGGGCCAATTGACACTTTTATCGTTTTATATTGATCATTTATATTTAAGTAGTATTAGATATTATTATAGTTAACAGTCCTGTCATGCAGATAGGCTACGAATTTTCGCCCTATCTTGCTTAGCTCACTAGCATCCAAACGTGTATACTGCATAATAATATATGTTAATTGAATCTTCCCCTTAGGGGCTTTTCAGCCACAATGTAGACTAACTAAGAGCTTAAAAATCCCCACTGGCAGGAGGCAGGCCAATGGGCTATTTACAGAGCGCAGCCGAGGAGTTGAACTACGGGCAACCGAGAACAAATCCGGTGAGTGGCAAGGTGGAAGACTTGAACCCGGGGCACCGGATTACAAGTCCAACACCCTGACCACTCGACCACGCCGCCTCCTACATAATTACTTAATCTTACTGAAATAATCAAATTTGAGGTCAAATGCCAACGAAAGCTGTTCTGCAGGAAAAATACATCATGTGAAATTTTCTTTATTCATCCGAATTCCCGAAGCATTCTCTCAGCTATGCTGTTGGGAGAAATAATCTGGCAAACGCACGCAACATCAGTTTCAACGCAATATCTTGCAGCTATCTTTAAAATATAGAACGAGGAACGGTGAACGGGGAACGGGATTTCGGTTCGCAGACGACGCAAATTTTGGCGATTTCACGTTGTTGTTTTGCATAGGACGGCTAAGAAATGTACAAATTTTCAAAACGCACGTGCTGAGCAATTGTTCTGCCAATTAGATCTCTTGTTTTTCCACGTCCTCGTCGCCGTCGCCGTCGTGGTTTCTTAAGGTCCCTATTAAAGACTTTAAGCAAACCACGACAGCTACGGCAACGAGAACGTGGAAAAAACAATAGATCTAATTGGCAGAACAATAGCCCAGCACGTACGCTTTAAAACTTTGTACATTTCTTATCCGTCCTTTGCAAAACAGCAGCGTGAAATCACCAAAATTTGCGTCGTCTGCGAAGCGAAACCGCGGCGGCAAATTATTTTAATTTACATTTGGAACTCAACGCTACTTTTATGCGTTATGTTAAGTTTGAGGTCTGGCGCCCTATGTGACGGTAAATACATGCAGCCATCTGCTTAAAGTCCCTATTAATCCTGGGAGGAAACGCCGGGAGACCATTATAGAGACTGAGTTCCAGAGTGCACCTGGATACGAACTCGAGACTGGACTAAAGAACTTCTTAGAAACCGGAATGAACCGAAGAATAGAAACTTGTTATCAAGAAGAGTAGTCAAGAGTTTGAGCATTAAAAGCTGTCTGCAGTTTCACTGATTAAGTACTTATGCTCATAATTTTCCTGTAATACTAGGCATAGTGGTTTTAATATCAGTTTATGCATTATTATTTTTGGACGGTATGTCTTAACATGGGAATTTGGTTTACCCCTCCTACCATCCTGTTAACCATTTTTGTATTTTTGTTTGTTTATATATGTATTATTTTTTTTTTTAAAGTATTTAGTTCATTTGTATCAGTTATGTATGGTTACGAACTGGGATTAAACATTAAGTATTAAACAGTCTATATATACAAACTAATCGAATGAAGCCTTACACTGCTGTAAAACGTTTTAAAAATCCAAGCTTAAAACAGTCTGTATCACGGGTTGTTTACTTTTATTGTACTCAAAAACTCATCAAAATATCCCGGCCGGAACGAATGATTGATCAAGAAAGACATGAATAGCTTCTGGAATATGTATTTTCGTCCTTACCATTTTTAGAATTATTCTCTAGTTATGTTCTGCTATGTAAATTTTAGCTTTGAACGATACATCAGATAACAAATTTTAAGTGAGGCTTCAAGTTCCGATCAGGGATGCTCCTATCTTCCACGAACTGAAAAACGGCCAGAATGACTGAGCAGTGTTTGGTTTTTCCAACTATACAGTTCTTAGAATGTATTTGTCCAGGTAATATGTAACGCTAACAAGCCGGAGTGGATCATCGGGGAAATGAGCTCAAGGGAGAGCCAGTGATTTATGAAGTAAATTAGCCTGCAGAGCAGGCGTTCAAGTAAAGTTTGGGCTAAAATTAGACCGCGCGAAAATTTTTCGCCTCGCTCCATTTTTCGCGCGGTCTAATCTTCGCCCAAACTTTACTAGAACGCCTGCTCTGCAGTCTAGAAGTAAATTACACTTTGTTACTCGGAAACTCTTCGCCGACACACTCAGAACGGATTCCAGGAGGCACCTCTCAGAAACCCGTGAAAGAATAAAAGTAACAGTGTATTAACTCTCTCTCTCTCTCTTCCCCCATGACAGACAAAGGCACGATTGCAACCATTGGAGAGGTGACGGAGCAGTTTGTCACTTATCACCTGGGGGAGGGTTTGAGGGATTTCTGGGGGGATAACATGGTTTCCAGGGGGGATGGAGGGGGGTCGATCGTCTGTAACAAGGGGGGTCATTATAATACTACAGAGCCACACAGGGAGTTCAGGTAAATATTATTGTGACACAACCAAAATCCTCCATCCCCTCCTCACCCCACTAGGCCTGTCCCGAGCGTGCTCGTAGCGTTTGGACAACTTTTTGCGTTCGGAGCAAATGTTTGCAGTTCTAGTAACTTCGAGCAATTTTGGCTTTCTGAGCAATTTTTTGGCAAAATATTGGTTAAAAGTGCATAGCAAGCTCGAAAAAGTCAACGATTTCAAAGAAAACTTCAATTTATGTGAGTTTCTTTAATATTTATAAACCTTTTGAGCACATAGCCTGTCAGACATTTCGCAGGACTATTGCCATCCTTGTCTAATATTACAACGAATAATCGGCTAAAAGTGACGCATTAAAAAGCTAGGCCATCCTGCTTCTTAACTTTTCATGAACGGAAATAGATGGTAGGAAATTAAGTTTTTAAGGTATTGTTACTTGACCGATATCATCAATCACAATGTAGAACGAAATATTAAGTTTTTCATCAACGTGTATATAAAAATATCAAGTACATAGGTAGCAACTTTTAAAATTTAGGTAGCAAATTTTTGGATTTGTGGCAAATTTTTAGCAACTTTTTTGGCATTCCTGTGAGCAAATTTCTAGCATTTAACGATGCACAGTAGGGACAAGCCCACCCCCATTAGGAGAAAGAGAATGAGCGGTTCCTAAGCCAAACGCCAGGCCAAACGAGTCTACCCCCGGCTCGAATATCTCAGAATGTCTTTTACAAAGTTCTTTGTTGCAAATAAACCTGTTTGCAATCTCTGTAGTGTTCAGTGCGTCTGTAATCGATTTTTGGCAATGCATAAATGGTAATCTGTTCCGAAAAGTCCTGCATCATACCATTTCGATTAGTGTAATCTTGGCGGATGAGTTGTGCGCAAATTACGAACTGAATGTTTGCCAAGCCAATTTACGCTGCGGTTACGATTATTTCCGCACCGAACCGTAAGAGGAGGGGAGGGGGGAGAGGTCTCAAGCTTCTCTGTCATTAGCAAAGGGGGTTGTCAAAGGAATGTAGCAAAATAGTAAAGCAACTGAGATCAAACGAAGATTGTGAAAATCGCGATAAAATGAGTCTATGGTCGTCTATGGGCTTTCTACATAGCTTTGCAGGACGGCACAAGGTATTTAGATGAACGGAACTAATAGCATGCTGCTTGAGCTGAAAATTATATCGTTCAGTGGTTAGATGCCACTCATTCCAAACGTTACATGAATTTATTTGGTTCCAGGCGGGAATGCCTAATGTCTGAAAAATCTGCAAAAACTTTGAACCCCTTTAGGAGCATGATTCGAAAACTTAATGTAACTTCTCTGTTGGACGACGGGTGAACGCGTTGTTCTTGCTGTTCACCTACGTAGTTAGTTGTTAATCAGTTGTTAAGTGACAATATTGTGACACCATTAATCAATGGATTTGTTCTTAGATCTAATTTTTAATAATAATTTTTTTATACTTGTACTAGATACTAGTTGAATAGATTTCACTTTAAATTACTTTAATTTATATTTTAGTCTCCCCAATTGGTAGAGCACCTTGATGCTGGGCTCTAAACGACTTGAGACTTAAGTAAAGTAATTTATCCATCTCTCTAATGTTCACGTGACAGAATAATAATTAAACAGAAAACCAAGGCAATAAAATCGACGAGAAATCCGTTCACCCATCTGCCGAAAAAAATCCACAAATTCTCCGGAAGAAATAAGAAATTTTAAGCTTTTTACGCGTCAGGATCGAATCGCTAAGACATGCCAAAGATCATGACAACATGCCCCGAAAGTGCGGGAGCTAAAAATAGCAGTGACGCTTTGGAGAAAGTGGCCAGGCTGCTTAGCGGTGACAAGGCGCAAAGGAGCGGTTTGTGCAGGTGTGTATGGTTTGTACTTGGTCTGGCATGAACGTATTTGATCACTTGTTCTTCTCCTGGTCAAAATGAACAAAAAGCCAAACATCGAGATTCTAAAGGAACCCAAAGGATTCATAAAAGGCATCGAACTGGTGAGTTTTCGGTGAGATTGTGCCTTATAGCGCTGAAATAGCTAATGCCTTGCGCTCTTCATTGTGTTTGCAAATTGCTACATTAGAATCAGCGTTATTTAGGTTAAAATACTCTCGTTTTTGAATGGTCAGCCGCAGAGGTACATCAGTGACCTATGTACAGTCAATATGGCGCAATCCGTGATTACTGCTAGCCAATAATTGATAAAAATGTCTGATATGAGGTAAATTTTAATTCAACCCGTAAACGATCGAGTTACAATTATAAACCTCTCAATATTACTTTTTTTTTTTGACGACCATCAGTTTCGGGCACGAGTAACAATGTGTACATTTCTATCGTTCAGTCATGATGCAAAAGCTTCATTTTTACTTCTTACAGTTAGCATGGAGATATGCTTTTACGTGAGGAAGAAATATATTGATTAATCAAAGCTGATCAGGGGTTTTAAAACCTTTTAACATCCTTATATACAGCAAAGCCAGTATCGCACTACAGAAGAAACCCATGTGTTCATGTTAGTGTAAGTCGTAACGATGACGTTACATCATCATTTACATGTGTCGGGAGGCTTTGAAGAATGAGGCATAACACAATAGAAGCTATTCTTATTTAATGACATATAAATGAGTGGCCGGGTATTCTGAAGTTTAGCCCATATGGCTAAAAAAATACTCAAATATGTCCCACAATGCTGGAAAGATGCTGAGAAGGGCATGTTACTTTGCATCACATCCCTTGTGCTCATAGTATATAGTTTTCATTATTTCTTTATTCTTAATAGCCCATTTAGGACAAATAAAGTATGTATGTATGTATGTATGTCAGCGTAATTCAAATTTCCTGCTTAACCAGTTTAGATCATACATTTTTTTTTTTGATAACAACCCCAGGGGCAGATCCAGGATTTAGTGAAGGGAGTTTCAGACAATTGTCCGAGGGCATGCTCCCCTGGGAGATTTTAAAAATAAGGTCTTTGGAAACATGATTTCCAGCATTCAGAGGGGAAATTCAGGGGGTTTGACCAAATCACCCAAACCTCCCTTGTATCTGCCCCAGAACCCTGTTATGGCCATGAGCCTCATACCACTGACTGTTCTTTTCCTCTGACCTTTTTATTGTCTTTTCATCCAGATCATCACCATATTTGCCTTTGCCACTGTAGCTGGTTTTATAGGTCATGTTGAATTTTTCCTCGACTGCAAAGAAACACCACCACAAAAACGCAAAGTTAGTGTGGATTTTTACTACCCATTCAGTGAGATGGAAACATATGTCGCAGGAGAGACGTTCTGCAATGATACCCGACCAGGAAAAAGTCCACTGAATTTGAACTACAGGTCTGAGGCTGAGTATATCGTCTTCACTGGCGTAGTATCCATGTTGTTCATCATTGTGGCTCTTGTTTACTACATCTTTTTTGAAGATCGAGCAAAGGAAGCCACTTCAACTGATGTTGGTTATTTTTCATTTCCAGTTGTGGTAAGTTTAATCATGGTGAATTTATTTTAACCCTTTACACCCTAACATCAGTATGCATATTCTCCATACTGTTCTCTATACATTTCCCAAGGAGCTGACAAGGAGAATTTGTTTAACATTCAAGAGCTTCTTTAGTTGATGGTTATTTCCTTTATTCTGATGGTCTTATTGTTTGAATCAGGAGTGATGGTGTTAAGAGAAATTAGATATTGGTCACTCTTAGGACAACTAAGGACAACTATTGTTACCGTATTTGTTCGTCTATAAGCCGATCTCGGCTATAAGCGGAGACCCTAAACTTCGGTCTGTTTTAATCGGGAAGGTTCTTAAAACATGTAAATTGAAAATATTCGGCTATAAGCTGTGACCACATTCAGAGAATTCCATTCTTGAACAAACTGAAATGAATGCAAAAGTTTCGAAACAGAAAACAGTTTCAATGCAGTATTGCCATCGAAAACACATCCGAGATAACCAGAGAGTCGGTGAGTCGATAGAGGAAAGATCAAGAGAGCCTCTTCAATGGAGAGCTCGAGTTGTCAGTGAAACGCTCAACGATGGGCTGTTACACTCAGAAATATCTGCAGCTGGATGAGAGATTACTTGATTTGTTTACAGAGCAGAGAAGCCAAGATAAGTTTTCTTTTTACATCATCGCAAATTTCAACACCGTAACATGCAACAATCGATGAGTTTGTTTACCAATCGTGGGAATGGGCAATTCTGATTGGTCACTTTCGAAATTTTTAAAACACTTTTGCAAGCATCTATACACTCATTCAAAACCTGCAGAATCTCTGATACTCTAGATAGCATGGAAGATGAAGCAATCTACTCGGAATAAACGGCAGAACTAGCAGATGAGGAGGAGATGGATGACGAATTCCACGCCGACACTGAGGATGAACAGTAAGCCGTATTTACTACGCACCAAAAACAACAAACTGCTGCATTGGAAGCAACTGCATATTTAAAGTCAATGACCAACTTCAACTTGTTTTGTTATTTACTTCTACATGCAATATCTCGGCTTATAGACAAATATATCTATGTTTCCTTTGAATTTGCTGTTTCGAAAAAATTATGTTTGGAAAAACACTCGGCTATAAGCCGAGAACCCTTCTCTAGCTCAAATTTTTTAGATTTTGGTAAAGTTTTGTGAAAAAAATCGCTTGGCTTATAGATGAATAAATACGGTAACACTGAATTTTACAAACAATTCATGAAAATGCTCAGATGTTTTTATTTTTCTGCTTGTGTAGGATTTTGTCTTTACTGTTGTCCTGGTCATCTTCTGGTTCACAAGCTCCATAGCATGGGCCGCTGGATTGTCTGGGCTTAAAGACGCCACAGGCCAGACAGAATTATTTAAAAATTTTAAACCTTGTACTCAAGGCTGTTCATCATTCAGTGGGGCAACTTATGGATCTGCTACTGTTGCTGTGGTACGTGATTAATGTGATTACATGATTAACCCCTTACATGTACACTCTAGCATCAATAGAAATATTCTCTGTGAAGTCCTCTAAACATTTCCAGCAGTCATGACACAAGGATTTTTTTAAAAATGAAGAGTTTTTTTTTTTTTCCTTTTTGGCAATCATTTCTAGGAGTGCTTCTGTTAAGAGAAAAAAGATGTTTGTCTTTGGTAGTTAACTCTAAAAACCCCAACTATTTTTAAGAGTTAAAAAATTCTCACCATCATCTTCACACTGTTCCCATACACTTCTTAAGATACCAACAAGGATAATTTGTTGAACAATCAAGGGCTTCTTTAGTTGGTGATCATTTCCTTTATTCTCCTGACCTTAATGTGTGATTCAGGGGTGATATTGTAAGGAGAAATTAGATGCTGGTCACTCTCGGGTTAAGGCTGAGTGATTTAACTAGTTTTGAATAATGGCAACTTTTCATGTGAGATTCAAGTGTATTTAGAACTTCTTTGCTAGTTTAAGACATTTAAGATAAACTTAAAATGTAAGTTTATGAGATTTTTTTGGGGCTGTGAGTCAAGACAGTACAATCATACTGACATGTTATAGGAAAATAAATGACCTGAGTTATGGGTAAAATTGAAGAACAGCTCCCCAAAATATCTGTCGGCCGACAGTCACCCTTATCTATTACAGTTCACTGACAGTTGGCAGGGGTTTCATTGATTTTTTTCAGCAGGAGGGCAACTGGTTTTCACAGGCGGGCAAAACTTTTTGAACTAAACTTCTTTATAAGATAAACCTTCCTCCAGATTGTTAAACCAGGTGGGCAAAACCGTCCTTACAACCGGTCAATTTGGCCAGTGCCCGGCTCTTAATGAAACCCCTGAGTTGGCTAACATAATGACAACAAATTCAGAATCGAGTAAATAGACTGTCATCTTGGTAAGTTTGAACTTTCACAGTTACCTCAAAATGAATTTTGACAAACACTACGCGATAGAGGTAAATTTCGAGTGCGAGTGTCTTAATTGCCCAATGATGCATTGCAAACCTCATTATTGGCCGTATCAATTTTCATTTATTTGAACTTGATGGGTAGTATCTGACTGACACATTGTTCTGTTGAGATTGGAAGAGTTTAGTTACTTTGATTTAGCAATAAGTATAGGTAATCACATGATTTAGAGTGCAATTTGTAATAAATAAGGGTGACTGTCGGTCGACAGATATTTTGGGGAGCCGTTCTTCAATTTTACCAAATTATGTGTTCTTTTGCAAACAGAACCCCTTTTTCCTCCCAATAGTTAACATGACAGAATTTATCTTTATATTGTCAATACAGCCTCAAGCAGATAAGTGATGAGAATAAAGAAAAACATCAATTAGGGAATCACCAGTTGATCCAATACCAAAATCTCCCAACTAACATCATATGAATTGTATAGTAGACAGTTAGGAGAATTACTAATGAGATTTTGGGAGCAAAAGGGTTAAGCAGCCAGAGGGGAGAATTACAAATGAGATGATGTTTTATTTTATAGGTCTTTGGATTCCTCAACTTTTTTGTCTGGGGTGGCAATCTGTGGTTCCTTTTTAAAGAGACACCATGGCATAGTCCCCGTTCTGGACAAAGTGGTGAGAGTGTGCCGCAGGAGCCTCCACGACAAGATATTCCTTCTGCCCCGGCAATTTAATCTCCTTTCTTTGCACTGCAAGGTACGTTTTGTTTTATTGAAATACTGTTGGAACTGTGAACTCTAGAGAAGCTCACTTAACCCTTTACACCATAACATCAGTAACCATATTCTCTATACTCTTCTATTTATATATCCTTTGGAACTGACAAGGAGAATTTGTTTAACAATCAATGCTTTATTCTCATAATCTTAATCTTTTCACTTCTAAGAGTGACAAAAATTCAATTTCTCCATACCATGTCACCCCTGAATCAAACTCTAAGGTCAAGAGAATGAGAGGAACGATCACTGATTAAAAACGTGCTGGATTGTTAAATAAATTCTCCTTGTCAACACCCTAGGGAATGTATACAGAACAGTATGGAGAATATGCATACTGATGTTAGGGTGTAAAGGGTATTGCTGGAAGGAGAAACTAGGAGCTGGGCACTATTTGACAATTATTCTTCGCCTCAGGTTGGGTGAATATCATCGAATAATCCCCAAGATGAAGTCGAGGGGATTATTAGACAATATTCACCGAACCTGAGGCGAATAATTGTTTTAGTATAATTTCAGAGCTGAACAACAGAGAAACTTCTAAAATCGTAACATTTTAGTAACATTTATTAACGTTTTAGTTTAACATTTTATATAAACCGCATGGAGTGGTCTACATAGCATCATATAAGGAACCGCTCCACCAAGAAGATTGCTGGAAACTCTTTGCTCAGCTCTGAAATTACACTAAAGGGGTTTGTTAGGTTTTCTAAAGGTTTAAATGTTGCTGAATGATTAGAGCTGTCTAGCAGTGCTCGGTGACCTCTGGTTCCTTACTTTTGCTCTTAGGTGACTCAGGAATCTTAGTTTCTTCATAAAAAGCAAATGCTAGGCACCCTGGATTTCACAGTTTCAGAGCACTGGGCTCCCTTCAATTTTTCTTAGAGTACCACCTTGATAATTGAAAACAGCTGCTTAGAATTTTTTATTGTAGTCATAAAATACACTATTTCTGGTCCTAAAATGTGTCAAACTTGAAAGCCTGAGAAGAAATATGCAAGGTTCAGTTTCAAAACTTCTGATTTAAACAACAATATATTTGCTCATCCTTAAGGATAATTCCATTATGTTATTTAATAGGTGAGCACAGTTTTTCCGATGCAGACTGATCTAGACCAGTAACTTTTTTTTTTTTTCTGCTGGTTTGCTTTTTTTCACTTTGCTAGGAATGGCACAAAACAATTTTGGACCATGTTCCTTATTGTGAAAAGCTGAACCAGTTACTGGCACACTATTACCCTATCAGATATGAGGATTTAAGATTCTGGCCGGCTGAGATACTTCACAAAACAGTGATTTCCAGTTTTTTCGTCTAATTAGTTTGTGTATTTTTAGTTGCAGATAAATTGTCTTTATGGATTACTCTGTTAGCAAGCATTCATTATGAAACATTTTTTTTGGATGATACCAATTAGTCAGGTCTAAGGAGTGATTAACAATGTTATAGAGGTTTTGCGCAGCAGCCATGTTGGATGGCAGAAACAATAGATTATTTTACCCATGGGAAAATAATTTCTTTCTTATGCAAAATATTTTCATTGTTCCTGCCATCCAACACAGCTGCTGTGCAAAACTTCTATAGTCATATGCCATGGATTAATAAGCAGTTTTTGACTGAGGTGGAGGTCCTAATATAATGATATAGATATATGTTATTTACTAGGCTTGACGTTGTATGGGAAAAGTCTGTGCCCAAGAACTTGAGTGCCTTGCAGGGCCGACAGCAGAGGGCTGTATTTAAGACTAAGGTGTCAGTCACTTCCCCCTATGAACCACCAATTTTTTTAACTGCTGTTTTTTTTTTTTTTTTCTTTTTTTCACTTGGCCATTGAAAAAATTCTGGACCATGGTCCATTTTGTAAAAGGCTGAAATAGTTACAAATAACCAATCAGATTCACTGGTTAAAGATTCTGGTCTTCTCAGAGTATAACATTAGAACCAAGATAATTGAAACACCTTTAGAACAAAATCATACTCTTAAGAAAAGGAACCTTTTTGTTTGATATATCTCAGATCCTCTTTATAAACTTTGAACTTAAACTAAAACTTTGAACATAGATGCTTAAAATCTCTAAAGCCCTTGTATTATCCCCCTTTTCGTAAGAAAGAATTTAATGTTTGGTTTCATTTGTTGTGAATGGTTCATCACTATTTTCAACTATATCTCAGTCTATAATTGCTGTTTTTTCTTTTTTGTCTGTAATTTGAATTATACTTTTCTTTTGTCAAAATACTGTGTTTACCTTTTGTAAATGGGTCATTTTTAGACAAAACAGTAACAAAAATGTATCTGTTATTCAGATACAAGCTTTCAATAACAGAATCAATTCAAAGTGTGCCTAGTATTTGTGTAAATTAAAAACTTAAGGATAACAGTTCTGTGTTTTCGTCATGTTTAGAGAAGCAGCATTTGCTCTGTTAATTTCTGAAACTTGATGATGTAGGGTCACTTTTACTAACTGAATGGAATTTACTGCATCATGTAGCTTCATTGAAGAAAGACATTCTGTCTCCAAAAGATAAATACAATCCAAGAGACTTGTGCAAAGGGGTACTTCTAACTCGTTGCCATCATTAATGAAAATCAGGTCAATATTTGTAGGTCAGGACATTTTTCTTGAATATTGTATGTTACATATGCTTAACTTGTGTAATCAATTATATTCATGCAGTGTTATTGGTGATCTTGTGTGCATTTTGTTTGTGTGTGTGTGCATGCGTGCGTGCGTGCGTGCGTGGGTGTGTGTGAGAGAGAGTGAGAGAGAGAGAGAGAGAGAGAGAGAGAGAGTGAGTGAGTGTGAAGGGAACGACTTGTATCCCTCTTTGCAGCGTGTGCGATCGTGGTTGAGTGCATGTGCAAATAAATTTCCACTCCACGCGTTTTGTCCTTTGAGGGTGAACCTTTGGGTGCGTCCTCGTGTCCGATGATCCATTGTGACACAAGTAGCACAATCTGTTTGATACTGTTATCCCTCAAAAATCAGCAACTTCTTATTTAGAGAGATTTACCACCGTGTCTACGTGGAAATGAACTGCAAGAGTGACGACGTGGCATTGTTTTTCCCGTCATTTCTTCACGTTTGTCGGCTGCGTGTAGCCGTTTCTACTTGAAAGTAGCCTGTTTCGCGTTTGCCGTGTACGTTCGATTTTCTTCACTTTTTCTCTTACAGAGTAGAAATAAATTGCCCGAAAAAGGGCACCAAGACTATTCCTTGTAAGTCATACAAGGACACCTTCAAATCCACCTTGACGTGAACTCACGCGAAAGTAGCAAGGTTCACGCTATTTTACGTGAAACGTGAAATGACAAGCTGATGTTTGCAGTTTCACGTAAACGCAGTGCTAAATCTCTCTTTTATTACCAGCGGTGCAGGACGCGCGTTTCTCCGCTCGCGGGAAGAATTGAGATGAGTCGGGGAGAAGATTCGTCGGGGTCTGGTACTAATAATACTAGACACACTGGCTCGCGTTGTTCAAGGCCCCTTACCGTCGCTCGTGCCGAGGCGCGAACAATAGAGGTTTTGGTACAATGAATATATGAAGTTCATATATTTTGAACTGCGGTATTAAATACGTATGATGCACGATCCTTCGCAGTAGATAGCGGTATTTATGCAATAGCGAAAATCGCACCTGAAAAT